CTTCCGATCGGCAGCCGGTGCCGCCCGCACCTGCCCGCAGCGGCGGAGAGCCCGCGCCCGCTCCGCGCTGCCCGGCGCAGGGCGAGGGGCGGCCGCGCATGCGCCGCCCCCCCAAACCGGGGCCAGCCCCCCCAAAACCGGGGCCGCCCCCTCCCCATCGAGCGGGGCCGCCCCTCGCACCCCGCGCGGCGCGGAGGGGGTTGGGGGGTCCCTGTAGTGAGGGGGGGTCTCTAAGGGGGCTCTCAGAGAGGTGGGGGTTCCGTGGGAGGGGGGGGCTCTGATCCCTGAGAGGATGTGGGGGGGTCGCGGAAGTGGAAGCAGGAAGAGAGGGGGGGACCCAGCGGGATTTTTGGGGGTGTTTCCAAAGAGGGGAGCATCTTCCAGGCCCCCCACACCCCAAAATTCCCTTTAAGCCACACAGGGCACGACCCCAGGCCCCCACACCCCCGTGTGGGGCCGGAATGGGGTGTGGGGGGGCTGCAAGATGCTGTGGGTGGACAAAGACTTCAAAAAGCCCCAACCCCCCCCAAAAATGGCTGAGACTCTCCGAAGAGCTGCGCTACCAGAAGCGACCCCCAAAAAGGGGGAAGAAAACCATCACTGAGCTATTGGAGGGGTTTTTTTGGGGGGGGTGGGGGGAGGTCACCTTCCCGCCGGTGACTGAAGAATGCCGGCCTGTCTCCCACGACTTGGCACCGAAAAAAGAGAATCCCCCCTCCCTATTTCGCCCATAGGATGGATCCGTGGAAACCCGAGAGCAAAGTTCTCATTTCCGACTCCATTGTGCCAGACTTTTGGTGGCGTTTCCTGCCTTTTGTGAGCCCCCCCTGCTCCGGCACAATCCCGGCGTTGCCGGCGCACAGAGCTCCTCTGTTCCCCTCCTTTATGCGGCTGCAGCTGCCGGGCCCGGCCCCGTGGAGGTGCCCGAGCCTGGGGGGCAGCGGCCGGGGGCACCGTCCCCGCGGGCTTTGCCAAGGGGAATTAGGGAGAGGGTCCCAGGGGTTTGATATTGCGGCTTCTTGCTGCTCCCAGAGCATCCAGACACGCCAGGGATCTCTGGAGAGGCACCCCGGGGTGGTTTTGGGGTTGTTGGGAGGATCAGGAGTGGTCCATGGCTCTGAAATCCTCACCTGGGTGCCCCCCACCCAGCTGGGTCCTGCACCCGCAGCCCCAAATCCTCCCTCCTGCTCTTCGTCTTCCTGAATTCCACCTGGAAATGCGAGCAGGGATGGGATGGGCTCAACCCCATTCCCCCCGGGAGTGCCGGGCGGGCCCAGCGCCTCCCACCCCAAGAAGCTCCACCACAGCTGCCCACAGCCTGAGCCCGGCCCTGGAAAGGGCCCCGGAGCCTCGCGGGGACTCCAAGGTGAGGGGGGGGGACCCCGGGCCACCCCCAGGGGACACCGAGTCCCGGCAGAGCAGCGGGGATGTGTCACCGGCCGTTTTGGTGGCAGCGCTGGCGGTGACTGAGCCGAGCCCTCGTCTCAAGTGGGGATGGATGTCACAGCAGCCAGCGCGGCCCGGGCACCGGGGTGCCACCAGCACCGCCACCGCTCGGCCCGGGGACGCGCTGGGGACCCGCTCCTGCCCTGGCACCGGCTGGGTGTGCCAGCGTCCTCCCTGCAGCTGGGAGGCGACTTCATCGTGTGCCACCGTGTCCCACCGTGTCCCACCATGTCCCATTGCATCCCACCGTGTCCCACCGTGTCCCACCGTGTCCCATCGTCCTCTGAGCCCAGGGTGCTGCCCAGGGTGGCCAAGCCAGCGCTGGCACGGAGCAGTGTCCCAGTGTCACCGTCCTCACCCGGGGGGGTCCCCGCCCCTCTCCAGCCCCACATCCAGCCCCGAGCTGCTCCCACGAGGCACAGCCTGCTGTCGCCGTGTCCCCGACCCCCGTGGGTGGCCCAGCACAGCGCGGCTGGGGTGTCCCCTCCCTCGGTGCCACCCCGCGGGCCCCAGCCCCGGCAGGCTCGGCGCGGGGACCGCGCGTCGTTTGGAGCCCGAACGCCGGGATTCTGGTGAAATCCTGCAGCAGTGTTGCCGTGACGACCCTCCCGCAGTTTCCATCCAGAGATGTTTTCCTTTGTTGTGACAGGGACACGGGGAGCGGCCGCGGGCGGTTGGGGTGCGGGGACAGCGCCCAGGGGCCCCCGCTGCGAGGGGCAGGGACGCGCCACCCCCGCGGGGACACCCCTGCGGCCCCGGCCTGGGGCTGGGGGGTCCCCACTGCTCCAGCGGCGCCCTGGTTTGTCCCCAGCCCCCCCGGGGACAGCGGAGGGGCCGTGAGCGACATGAGTGACACGAGTTCGGTAGGTCTCGGCCAGCTCTTGCTGCCATCACAGTGGAGGGGTGACACGGCCAAGGCGCAGGTGTGGGGACACCGATGGGGACCGAGGGGTCGGTTCTGCGGTGGCCACCCCCGTCCCCACAGGGCAGCGCCAGTCTGGGCGGGTGGCGTGGCCGGGAGCCGCCCGGGCCGCTCCGGTCCGGGGTGGTGGCACTGCCACGTGGTGTCCCTGAGCCGCGCTGGGCACAGAGGGCCCCGGGTGTCCCCGCACGGCCCGGGGTGCTCGGGGGGACCCCGTCCCGAGCCCCACGGAGCCGCTTGTTATTCCGCTCAGGTCCGCGGGCGGCTCATGAAGGCCGTTCCAGGAGAGCTGCCACATTCATCAGCGCCGCAGCTCATTAACGGGGCCGCCGCCGCCGCAGCTGGGGCCGGCGCTCGGGGCACCGGCACGGGGACGGGCGGACGGGCGGACGGACGGACGGACGGACAGGAGGGGAAGCGGCGACTGTGCCCGTGCCGGGCAGGAGGGCTCGGCCAGGGCTGGGGAGGGCAGAGCGATGGAACCCGCTCCGCTCCGCGCTGCCCCTGTCCCCTCACCCCTGGGCACGGCGGGGAGGGCACAGGGGGGGCTGCAGGGTCCCCCCGGGGAGGAGGCGAGGCTGCCCTGGCCAGGCCCAACTCCCCTCCGAACCCCCCGGCAGCGTGCATCGATTTGATTTGCGGTTTCCATGGCAACTGCCTCCTTCCCTTCCCCCCTTCCGGCAGCCGGACCCGCTCCTTCCCCCTCGGGCACCTGGGACACGGCAGGGGACACGGGAGGGGACACGGGCGCCTCCTTGGCGACCCCCGCGGTGGTGACGCCACCAGCTCACCCCTGTGCTGATTCTGGGCGAGCCGGGCGGGCACGGGACACGGGGGACACGGGGGACACTCGGGCCACCCCTGCAGCGGGGCTGGCAGGACGCCGCGCTGGCTCATTAGCCAGGGTGCTAATTGTCCCGTGCGGGGACACCGAGCAGCATCTCCCGTCAGCAAAGCCGAGCTCATTAACGGCACACGCCACCCTCACACCTGCTCACAGCGCTGTGACACGTGTCAGGCGCTCGCGGCGTGGTGACACTGTTGGGGACACTGCAGTAACGCCCTCACCCCTGGGTCTTAAAACCAGCCTTATAATAAATTAATGATAATTATATCATTTACCCATCCCCTTCCAGGGGATGCACCCACGGCCACCCTGCCCTGCTCCTTCCCAGCGCCCAGATGCCACCACATTGTCACTCGGTGAGTGACAAACGACATTTGGCTGTGCCAAACCCTTCCCAAAGCCTGGTGGGGAGTTTGGATAAATCATAAAGGCACGGAGAACAGGCAGAGCGCTGTGCCGGTGCGCCCTGAATCCCGCATCCCCCAGCGACCCCCGGGGCTTCACACGGCAGCGGAAATCAATCAGCGCGAGTAATTAATGCTGAAGGGCACGGCACCCGCTCTTGCTTCGGAAGCACAGGCCGGGGGGCCCGGAGCCGTGCCCGCGCTGGCCCCGGCCCCGGCCCCGGCCCCGGCCCCGCCGTCAGCTCCCGGAGCCCGCGGAAAGGCCTCCCCGGGGCTGGACGGCACCGGGAGCCGCCGCCAGAGCCGCTCCCGGCACGGCCGGGGCCGGCGGCGGCAGCGCCGCGCTCCTCGACGGCGAGGAAGGGGCTGAGGCCGAAGATCCCGGGGCTGGGCCGCTGCTTCCCGGTTCTGCAGAGCTGAGGGGCTCGGGGTCACCGGGATCCCCCCGGTTCTGCAGAGCTGAGGGGCTCGGGGTCATCGGGATCCCCCCCGTTCTGCAGAGCTGAGGGGCTCGGGGTCATCGGGATCCCCCCCGTTCTGCAGAGCTGAGGGGCTCGGGGTCACCGGGATCCCCCCGGTTCTCAGAGCTGGGGGTTCGGGGTCCCCGGGATGGGGAGGGGGTCGCTGCCGCAGCCGCGCGGGGGGTGACGCGCACGGCGGTGGCAGAAGTGGCAGCTCTGTCCCCAGACGCGCAATTAGCCCGGGGGCAAATGAGGCTCCTGCGGTTTTTGACCCAATTTCTCAGGCGAAACTCGACGGGGGAAGGAGGGGAGGGAGGAGGAGGAAGGCAGAGCCGGTCACGCGTGTGCTGCTGCGTGGCGTGCCCCCGCGGGTGTGCGCACAGGCGTGTGACATGTGTGTGACATGTGTGTGCGGGCGGCAGCGAGTCCCCAGCCGGGGCCGAGCCCCGGGGCGGCGCGGGTACGAGAATGGGGACAGGGATGGGGACGGGGACAGGGATGGGGACGGGGAGGGGGCGGTGGCTTCGCAGCTCTCGCCGCGTTTATTTTTGCCGGTGACTGAGCTGAGGCGGCCTCGGCGCGGCCGCCGTGACTCACCCGGCACCGGGAGCTCTGCGGGGCTGCGGAGCCGGGGGCTGCGGTGGGCAGGGGCGAGCAGGGATTCGGGGATGCTGGGATGAGCAGGGATTCGCAGCGATTCAGGGATGCTGAGCCATGTAGGGACGCCAGGATGAACAGGGATGAAGAAGGATGCGGGGATGAGCAGGAACGCAGGGATGAGCGGGAGGTGCAGCTTTGCTGGGCTGTGGAAGGATCCTGGGGTCTGCAGGGGTGCAGGGATTAGCAGGGATCTGCAGGGATGCAGGAGTATGCAGGCATTCAGGAATGCAGGCATTCAGGAATGCAGGGCTGCGGGGATGTGCAGGGATGCAGGCATGCAGGGCTGTGCAGGGACTCGGGAATGACGGGATCCAGGAATTCAGAGGTTTAGGGATGCAGGGACACGCAGGGTTTCGGGGATGCAGGAATGCGGGGATCCCTCCCGCCCCTCTCCCTCTCCCTCTCCCTCTCCCTCTCCCTCTCCTCTCCCTCTCCGCAGAGCTGTCCCGGGAAGGTCCCCGCGCCCCCCGCGCCCCGCAGCACCGGGCAAGGAGCGGGGATCCCCAAGGACAGGCGGGAGCGGTACCGGAACCGGTACCGGTACCGGGGGGAGGCGTCTGCAGGGGGGCGAGCACGGCGGGGCCGGGGCGGGGGGACACACGGCGGGGCTGGGGGACAGGGACTCGGAAGGGACACACTGGGACACGGAGGGGCTGGGGGACACGGAGGGGCGGCGGGGACACGGAGGGGCTGGGGGACACGGGGCTGCCGTGGCGGAGCTCCCGCCGTGCCGAGGGCGGTACCGGACACCGGGAGCGGGGCGGCGGCTCCGCCTCTTCCTGCGGCGGCCGTGAGTGCGGGGCGGCACCGGGACGGGGCTAGGGGCGGTTCCCGGGGGTCCCCAGGGCTGCTCGGGGGTCCCCAGCACGGGCCGACGGTGCCCAGGGGTGTCCCGGGGTCCCCAGCGCTGTTTTGGGTGTCCCCAGCGCAATCCAAGGGTCCCCATTCCCACCCAGGTGTCCCCAGTGGTGTTTAGGGTGTTCTCATTCCTGCCCAGGTGTCCTCAGTCCCATTTTGGGGGTCCCCAGTCCCACTCAGGTGTCCCCAGTCCCCCCAGGTGTCCCCAGTCCCATTTTGGGTGTCCCCAGTCCCCCCAGGTGTCCCCAGCCCCGTTTTGGGTGTCCCCAGCCCCGTTTTGGGTGTCCCCAGTCCCGTTTTGGGTGTCCCCATCACGCCCATCCCTCTCTGCAGGCAGCGATGCCCGTGGAGCCCCTGGTCTGTGCCCACACGGCCACGCGGTGAGTGCCGCTCCCTGCGCTGCCACCCCCCGTCCCCAGCCAATCCCGCCAGTCACCCGCTGTCCCCGGTCCCTCTGTTGTCACCCGCTGTCCCCTGTCCCTCTGTCTGCCACCCCCTGTCCCCGGTCCCTCTGTTGTCACCCGCTGTCCCCGGTCCCTCTGTCTGTCACTCACTGTCCCCGGTCCCTCTGTTGTCACCCGCTGTCCCCTGTCCCTCTGTCACCCGCTGTCCCCGGTCCCTGCGCTGCCACCCGCGGTCCCGGCCCTGCTGTCCCCGCGGGCGGCGCTGTCCCCGCAGGGTGAGCTCGGTGCTGCACCGGGACGTGAAGCACTTCGGGAAGCAGCACCTGTTCGATGGCAGCGAGGAGACCTGCTGGAACTCGGACCAGGTGAGGGCACAGGGACGGGACAGGGACACGGCTGTGGCCCCGCTCCGTGCCCCTGACGCTCCTGTCCCCCCCAGGGCACGTCCCAGTGGGTCACCCTGGACTTCCCCCGCCCTGTCAAGGTCTCCCAGCTGCACATCCAGTTCCAGGGGGGCTTCTCCAGCCGGCTGTGCACGCTGGAAGGTGAGGGTCGCCCCAGGTACAGGCCCTGCCTCAGTTTACCCGCAGCTGCGTCCTGCAGGGGCTCACGGGGAGGCTCGGGGCCATGTGCCAGCAATTCCCAAAGCCCAGGGGGGCTCAGGAGCACCTGGAGAGGCTCTGGGAGTGAAGAAAGAGGGGCTGGGAGCTTCTGGGAGCCATGGGAGATTTTGGGGCAGCACCTGGCAGCACCTGGAGGCTCCAGGGGTGAATAAAGGGGGGCTGGGAGCTGGTGGGAATTAGGGAACATTCTGGGACAGCACCTGGAGCAGCTCTGTGGGTGACTAAAGGGGGGCTGGGAGCCTTTGGGTGCTGGTGGGAGCCAGGGAAGATTTTGGGACAGCACCTGGAGGCTCCTGGGAGCACCTGGAGCAGCCCCAGGGGTGAATAAAGGGGGCTGGGAGCTTCTGGGAGCCAGGGAACATTCTGGGACAGCACCTGGAGGCTCCTGGGAGCAGCTGAGGCTGCCCCTCGCCCTCCCCAGGCTGCAGAACGGGCGAGGAACTGGTGAAGATATCCGAGCTGTACCCCCAGGACAGCCACGCCATGCAAATATCCTTTGCCGGGAGGGCGACGGGGAGAAGGCAGAATTTGGGGGGTTTTGGGGAATTCTGCTGCTGGGCAGAGCTGGGGTGTGACCCCCCCATCCCAGTCCCAGCGTTGTTCCTTGACTGGGATCTGCAGAGATTCCAGGTGCAGGAGACGGTGCTGGACAAGCTGAAAATCACCTTTGGGAGCAGCACGGATTTCTTCGGGAGGGTGGTGGTCTATCACCTGGGGGTGCTGGGGGAGAGGCTCTAGGGGGACCCCGGGGCTGTCCCCTCTCTGTGCCCTCAGGTGACACCGGTGAGGCTGTGCTGGGCCACAGGCGTGGAATGGGATCAATAAACGATCTTCCTGTTTTTTCCTGGGATCAGCCCTCGGGGTTTGGCTTCAGGGCAGAGGAGAAGTGTCCCCTCCTTGTGCTGTCACCTCGGTGGCCACCCCTGAGCTGTCTGGGATGGCAGCAACAGAATCCTGCGGGATTTTCCCTCCTGGCTGGGGCAGTTTTGCGGGAGAAGGGACAGCCCTGGACAGGAATTCCACAGTGCTCAGGGGAAATTTTGCCTCGTGGCTGCCCAGAACCTGGGGCTAGGATGGGCTGAGGCAGCAGATGGGGCTCCACGGAGTTTAATTGCAATTAGAGTTTACTTCTGAGGGCAAACACGGAGCAGCCGAGCCAGGGCTGGAGTGAGTGTCCCTGGATTTCAGCACGGCAGCCATGCCACCCCGGGTGAAGCCTGGATCCACCAGGGCAGAAATTCCTGGATTTCTCCAGGCCGGGATGAGGCCATGGTGACCCTGGGAAGAGCTGGAGCTGCTGCCTCACTTCTTGTTCTGGAACAGCTTCAGGATGTGGTTCTCGATAACCTGCTGGACTGAGGAGGGAGAGGTGGGGTTCAGGGAGGCTGCTCTGGGAAGGAGCTGGTCATCGTTTTACTCCTGTTTTCTGAGGGAAAATCTCAGTTTCCTGAGGGAAATCCCTGTTTTCTGAGGCAAAATGCCAGTTTTCTGAGGGGAAGACCCTGTTTCCTGAGGGAAACCCCTACTTTTTGAGGGCAAAATCCCCATTTTCCAAGGGAAATCCCCAGTTTTCCGAGGGAAATACCAGTTTTCTGAGGGAAACCCCTGTTTCCTGAGGGAAACCCCCACTTTTTGAGGGAAACCCCTGTTTCCTGATGGAGATCACTTGCCTTTCTTGTGTCCCAGGGCCACGGCCAGGTCCATGGGGGTGTACCCCGAATCCGCCTCCTCGGTCAGGTCAGCGCCGCACGCTGCAGGGCAGCAATGGGGGAACAGGCGCCCCGAAGCTGCCCTCGCCCCTCAGCACCCCGCAGCCTCTCCTCCCAGGCAGCAGTTCCAGGAGACGGAACCGCCGGGAGCAGATTTTGGCCTTACCCAGCAGGGCCTCCACACACTTGACGTGGTTCCCGCGCACGGCGTAGAGCAGGGGGGTGCCCCCGTTCTGTGGGTGGGGAGGGGGCGAGGGTCATCCCTGGGCTCACAGGGCCCCCGCTTCATCCTGGGGTCCCTCAGGGTCATCCCTGGGCTCACAGGGCCCCCGCTTCATCCTGGGGTCCCTCAGGGTCATCCCTGGGCTCACAGGGCCCCCGCTTCTCCCTGGGATCCCATCCCAGCCTCTCCCAGTTCCGGCCTGGGATCCATCCCAGCCTCTCCCAGTTCCAGACTGGGATCCACCCCAGCCTCTCCCAGTTCCAGACTGGGATCCACCCCAGCCTCTCCCAGTTCCAGACTGGGATCCACCCCAGCCTCTCCCAGTTCCAGACTGGGATCCACCCCAGCCTCTCCCAGTTCCAGACTGGGATCCACCCCAGCCTCTCCCAGTTCCGGACTGGGATCCCACCCCAGCCTCTCCCAGTTCTAGACTGGGATCCATCCCAGCCTCTCCCAATTCCAGACTGGATCTCACTGGGATCCATCCCAGCCCCTCCCAGTTGCAGGCTGGTGCCCTGGCCATGCTGACGGCGCTGTCCCCGCTGTCCCCGGCGGCGCGGGCGGCGCTCACCCAGTCGAAGGTGTTGATGTCCACGTCCCTGTCCAGCAGCATGGTGACGATGTCGGTGTAGCCGCCCATGCTGGCCAGGGCCAGCGCGCTCTCGCGCTCCTTGGCCAGCGCGTGGGGATCGGCGCCCTGGGGATCCCAAAACAAAATTCCCAAAATAATCCCTGGGTTAAGGAGAGAGATCCCAGGGCTAAAGACAGAGGCCCTGGAATACAAGAGGGAGATCCCGGAATATAAAAAGAGATCCCCAGGGGCAAGGACAGATCCCAGGATTAAAGAAGATCCCAGGATCAAGGACAGGTCCCAGGACCAAGGACAAATCCCCAGGATTAAGGACAAACCCCAGGACTAAAGACAGATCCTAGGGTGAAGGACAGATCCCAGAATTAAGGAAGATCCCAGGATCAAGGACAGAACCCAAGGCGAAGGCCAGAGCCCAGGACAAGGCCAGGGCCCAGAATGAAGAGCCCAGGACAAGGCCAGGGCCCAGGGCAGCCCCAGGACCCCCGGGAAGCCCCCCAGCCCCCTCCTCACCCACTCCAGCAGGTGCCGCACGGTCTCGATCTCCCCGAAGGCTGCGGCCCAGAGCAGGGGGGTGAAGCCTCTCTCGTCGGGTTTGTTCACCAAATTCTCACCTGGGGAGGTGACAACAGCCAGCTGGACCCCCCCTGCTCCCAGTTCAACCAGTAAGGGCTGGTAAACCACCCCAGCCAGCTGCTGGGTGGTTGGAATTGAGGACTTTTGAGGATTTTTCCGATCTCCAAAAGTGGGGAAATCTCCACAAGAAGCCCCAGTTCCAGTGGTGTTATGGCTGGGTGGAAAGCAAGTGCAAGGTCACCAGAGGGGACCTGGCAGGTCCTGGCAGGGCCAAAGGGACACCGACCTTTCCTCAGGTGCTCCTTCAGCTGGGTGAGCTCCCCTTGGGCAGCGAGCTGGTGGATGGACAGCGCTGCAAGGGACAAATCCATCAGGGAAAAAGAATTCCCTGCAAATGTGGGGGTGGGAGCTGCCCCAGGGCGAACCCAGCCCTGCCCTGCTGTCCCCAAAACCCCGGGGTGGCCCCAGCCCCGCCCTGCTGTCCCCAAAACCCCGGGGTGGCCCCAGCCCCGCCCTGCTGTCCCCAAAACCCCGGGGTGGCCCCAGCCCCGCCCTGCTGTCCCCTGCCCCTGGGGACACTGGTGGCACTCACTGTCCAGCGTGGCCGGCAGCGCTGACACCTCGTTGCCTCTCTGTCTGTTGGTCAAGGTGTTGGAATGCTTCAGGGGGAAACCTGGGGCAGCACAGAGCGTCTGCAGCTTATTCTCCATTAATTTGGGGTTATTCTCCATTAATTTGGGGTTGTTCTCCATTAATTTGGGGTTTTTCTCCACTTATCTGGGGTTATTCTTGATTAATTTGAGGTTATTCTCCATTCATTTCTGGTTTATTTTATATTTATTCATTCTCTATTAGTTTATTCTCTGTTTATTTATTTACTCTATTAATTTCAGGTTTACTTTCTATTTATTTAAACCCACACCACCCAGGTCCATCCCCGTTTCCCATCCTTGCCGGGCTGCACTTGGGGATCCCAAAGTGTTCCCAGCCCTTGATCTGCAGTTTTATTGGGGAAAATCCAAGGAAAATGAGAATTCCCATCTCCAATTAGAGAGTGGAGCTGCAGCGACCTCTCAGGGCTGGCAGGAGAAGTGGGCACCAAACGTTGGGATCGGGATTGGGGTGGGATTTCCCACACCTGAGGCCCTTTTTGGGATGGGAGATGCCAGGGAGCTTCCCCTGTGTGCCACACTCACCGTCCAGGGGCTCGCTGGGGCTCGGGGACTCCACGGGAGCAGCCGAGGAATGGGCTGGGGTCTGGGCTGCACCTGCCACGCGGGCACCTCGGGGTCACGCGGGCACCTCGGGGTCACCCGGGCACCTCGGGGTCACCCCGGGCACCTCAGTGTCACCCTGGGCACCTCAGTGTCACCCGGGCACCTCGGGGTCACCCTGGGCACCTCAGGGTCACTGGGGCACCTCGGGGTCACCCGGGCACCTCGGGGTCACCCCGGGTACTTCAGTGTCACCCCGGGCACCTCAGTGTCACCCTGGGCACCTCGGGGTCACCCCGGGTACTTCAGTGTCACCCCGGGCACCTCAGTGTCACCCGGGCACCTCGGGGTCACCCCGGGTACTTCAGTGTCACCCCGGGCACCTCAGTGTCACCCGGGCACCTCGGGGTCACCGGGGCACCTCGGGGTCACCCTGGGCACCTCGGGGTCACGCGGGCACCTCAGTGTCACCCCGGGCACCTCAGTGTCACCCCGGGCACCTCGGGGTCACCCTGGGCACCCTCTGGGGTGTCCTGGGCCGGCTGCTCCCACCCAGCTCAGGGTGCCCCACCAGACCCCGGTTCCCAGTTTGTCCCCAGTTTGTCCCCAGTTTGTCCCCAGCATTCCCAACTCACCGTCCCCTCGTTCCGGGAGCGCTGTGTCCCCGTCCTGCAGGGGACACGCCGGGGGGACCCCGCTGTCCCCCATGCTGCCCTTTCCCTCTTTCCCCCCAGTTCTGGGGGTCCTGTGCTGCAGGGGGTCCCCGACAGCTCCTTCGCCGTCCCTGCACGGGGGTGGGGTGGAGAAGGGGCTCAGGGACGTGCGGGACCGACCCCGAGACCCCCACCCTGCAGTGGGGCCTGGGCCCCCTCTGCCCCCCGTCCCCATTCCCGGGGTCCCCCTTATTGTTCTCATCCCAGTTTTGGGATCCCCCTTCCCTTCCCACCCCCGTTCCCGGGTCCCTCTCGCCGTTCCCGTCTCTATTTCTGGGGTCCCCCTCTCTGTCCCCATCCCCGTTCCCGGGGTCGCTCTCGCCGTCCCCGTTCCCGGCACTCCCAACACTCCCAACCTCCGCTCCCGGAGCTCCTCCGAGCCCGGCACCCCGGGACCTCCGCAGCCCCTCACCGCCGATCCCGATCCCTTCCCGTTCCCGGTTCCCGTGCCCGGTTCCCGTCCCCGTGCCCGTGCCCGGTTCCCGTCCCCGGTTCCCGTGCCCGGTCTCACGCCGCTCCCGCCCCTCACTTCCCGTTCCTGCGGCCGCGGGGCCCGGCGGGCCCGGGGGTTCCGGGGGGCGCGGCCCGGCCCCGCCGCCCCCGAGAGGCCTTGGAGCGGCACGAGGGGCCGCGGGGACACCGCGGGGACACCCCCGGGACCGAGCGGGGACCGAGCGGGGCGAAGGCTGCGACACCCCCAGCGCCTGCTGAGGGCAGCGCGGCCCAGCCGGGAGGCACCGAGTGTCCCCGCGGGTGACAACGGGGGAACCACCGAGTGTCCCCGCGGGTGACAACGGGGGAACCACCGAGTGTCCCCGCGGGTGACAACGGGGACCGCGGGGGTGACACCGATTTGGGGGGGGGACAGCGCTAAGCGGAACGTCGTTCCCGCGGCCGCGTTTCCAGCCGGGGCTGTTTTCTCTGCCCGGGGCGGTGTCGGGGGCGCGCCGGCGGAAGCGGAAGTGGCGGCGGGCGGGATGGAGGAACCGGAGATGCAGCTGAAGGTGAAGAAAGGTGGGAGCGGCAAAAACGGGACCGGGAACGGCACGGGAGGGACCGGGAGCCGCGGGCATGAGACGGGAGCCGCGGGGATGGGCTGGGAGGGCTCCGCCGCGGCGCTCTGGCCGCCGGAGCGCTGCGGTTTGCTTGGCGGCCTCTGTTCCCCGGGCCGGTGTCGGGAGGAGCCCCTGGGCGTCCCGGGGGGATTCTGGGGGTTCTGTGGGATTTTTGTGGGGCTTCTGTGGGGATGTGTCCCGGGCTCTGTGTGGAGATGTTGCTGAGGCTCTCTGTGGACTTCCATGGAGGTGTTTCCATGGGTTTCTGGGGGATGTTCCTGTGAATTTCCGTGGATTTCTGTGGAGATATTTCCATGGATTTCTGTGGATTTCTATGGAGATATTTCCATGGATTTTCACGGAGATATTTCTATGCATTTCTATGGAGAGACTTCCATGGATTTCTCTGGATTTCCGTGGATTTCCACTGAGATATTTCCGTGGATTTCCGTGGATTTCCATTGAGATATTTCCGTGGATGTGTCTCCATGGATTTCTTTAGATGTGCAGGGATTTCTGTGAAGGTATTTCTATGGAGAGACTTCCGTGGATTTCCACTGAGACATTTCCATGGATCTCTGTGGAGATATTTCCATCGATTTCCATGGATTTCTGTGCATTTATCGGGATTTCCGCTGAGCTATCTGCGGGACTGGCCCCGCTCCCCCCGTCAATCCCGGTTTATCCCGGTTTCCCCCGTTTATCCCGGTTTTTTTCCCGGTTTATCCCGGTGTTTCCCGTTCACCCCGGTTGTTTGTCCCCCCCGGCAGTGACGGACCGGTTCACGGAGAGCCTGTACGTGCTGGCCAACGAGCCCTCGGTGGCGCTGTTCCGGCTGCAGGAGCACGTGCGCCGCTCGCTGCCCGAGCTGGCCCAGCACAAGGTGGGTGTGCCCGGGAATCCCGGGAATTCTGGGAATCCCGGGGATCCCGGCACCGCCCCCGGCACAGCCCCTCCTGCCCGACATTCCCACAGGAACTGCCTCTCCTCGGTTTAAATCCCTTCCCTGGGATTCCCAAAATCCCAAATCCCAAATCCATTCCCTGGGTCCTGGAATTCCCAAAATCCCAAATCCATCCCCTGGGTCCTGGGATTCCCAAAATCCCAAATCCATCCCCTGTGCCCTGGAATTCCCAAAATCCCAAACCCCAAATCCTCTCCAGCTCCTTTGGAACTCCCTGCACCTCTGGAAGCAGCTCCAGGTTTTCCTTGGATCCTTCCCTGCTGGGACATCCCAGGGGCCCAGGGGCAGCCACAGCTTCCCTGGGAATCCCACCCCATCCCATGGATCCCATCCCACCCCATCCCATGGATCCCATCCCACCCCATCCCATGTTGGGGGTGCCCCCTGGGATGCCCTCCAGCCCTTCTCCCCAGGGCAGGG